CCGTCACACTGGACATCACGTCTCCCTCAACAGGAGGAGTCGATTGCTATAATGTCACGTTTACCGACAAGGACAGTAATAATAAGACACTAAGTATACCAACCAACGACACATCATATACAGTAGAGGGACTCACACCAGGTTACAGTTATATCTTTAAGGTGGTATCCGTGTATCAGGGCCTGACCAGTAAACCTCATCAAGGTGTACCAGCCTCTACAGGTAATTATATATAAGTTTCACGTGTTTCAGGATTTGACCAGTATACTATACCAAGGTGTACCAGCCTCTACAGGTATGTTAAACGTGTATCAGGACCTTACCAGTAAACCGTACCAATGTGTATCAGCCTCTACAGGTAAGTAACACGTGTATAAGAACCTGACCAGTATAACGTACCAAGGTGTATCAACCTCTACAGGTACGTTGCACGTGTATCAGGACCTGACTAGTGTACCGTACAAAGGTGTACCAGCCTCTTCATGTAAATCACACGTGTATCAGGACCTTACCAGTATACCATACAGAGGTGTTCCAGCTTCAACAGGTAAGTTACACGTGTATCAGGATCTGACCAGTATACCGTAGAGGTGTTCCAGCTTCTACAGGTATGTTACACGTGTATCAGGATCTGACCAGTATACCCTACCAAGTTGTTCCAGCCTCTACAGGTTGGTTACACGTGTATCAGGATCTTACCAGTATACCGTACAGAGGTGTTCCAGCTTCAACAGGTAAGTTACACGTGTATCAGGATCTGACCAGTATACCGTACCAAGGTGTTCCAGCTTCTACAGGTAAGTTACACGTGTATCAGGATCTGACTAGTATACCGTACCAAGGTGTTCCTGCCTCTCCAGGTTAGTTACACGTGTATCAGGATCTGACCAGTATACCGTACCGTGGTGAACCAGCCTCTACAAGTAAGTTACACGTGTATCAGGATCTGAGCTTTATACCGTACCAAGTTGTTCCAGCCTTCACAGGCTAGTTACACGTGTATCAGGATCTTACCAGTATATCGTACAAAGGTGTACCCGCCGCTACAGGTAAGTTACACGTGTATCAGGACCTGACCAGTATACCTTACCAAGGTGTTACTGCCTCTAAAGGTAAGTTACACGTTTATCAGGACCTGACCAGTATACCGTAGAGGTGTTCCAGCTTCAACAGGTATGTTACACGTGTATCAGGATCTGACTAGTATACCGTACCAAGGTGTTCCTGCCTATCCAGGGTAGTTACACGTGTATCAGGATCTGACCAGTATCCCGTACCGTGGTGAACCAGCCTCTACAAGTAAGTTACACGTGTATCAGGATCTGAGCTTTATACCGTACCAAGTTGTTTCAGCCTTTACAGGTTAGTTACACGTGTATCAGGATCTTACCAGTATATCGTACAAAGGTGTACCCGCGCTACAGGTAAGTTACACGTGTATCAGGACCTGACCAGTATACATTACCAAGGTGTTCCTGCCTCTAAAGGTAAGTTACACGTTCATCAGGACCTGACCAGTATATCGTAGAGGTGTTCCAGCTTCAACAGGTAAGTTACACGTTTATCAGGACCTGACCAGTATACCGTGCCAAGGTGTTCCAGCCTCTACAGGTAAGTTACACGTATATTGAGTTCTGGCCAATATACCGAACCAAAGGTGTACAAGACTCCACATGTAAGTACATTGACACGTGTATCAGGACCTGGCGAGCGTACAAACGTGTACTTGTCTCTACTTGTACGTTACACTTTGAACTGGACTGTCTGTGCAACTACGCTACATGTTACATAAATTCGCTCATTGGTATTGGTCTTCCTTCATTCGTTATTAACTCTGTCACCGCAATGTAGCTGATTAAAACTATAGTAGTTCCAAGCCAATCTCATTAAAATCATATCCTAATTCCCGTTCCTCAACGATACTCTTACATTAGGATCTGAGGTAAACACATGATGAAGGAAAAAGAAATATGATTCATCACAGAACCAGCGCAGAATACCAGAAACAAAGTACATTATTATATAAGTTATTGGTCTTTGTCTAATTGTGTAAAATATATGATCCGGTTTGCTACAATTCTACAATACTTTGACCTGAATTGTGATCAGTGAACTAGAACAGACATATAAACAGTAATGAATGAATATTAACGTGATGTCAAGGTTTATACATTAAAAAAATCAAACATAACATTGAAATCTATTTTAAAAGTAAAAACAAAGTATAAGTAAAGTTTCTGAAATAACGAATGACTTAACATATTAAAAATTAAATATACATGAAATATATATTTATTAATGGTAAGAAAATATTAAGAAATATTGTTTAGATTCAATAAGAGATAATAAGACATATACATTGTTTAACAGCGTACATAAAATCCTGCTTTGGTTTTTGTGATGATGAAAAACGTTCGGTTCTCGTATATGGAGGCCGATCAACATTTCTGTGTTAAATTAGGTAGTAGAAACTTACTAGGGCTGAATGATGATCACTGGGGGCATTTTATGATCGGCATACTTCCTGATCTAAAACAAATGATGGTTGATATGGAACTAAAAATACAGGATTAGTCTCTATTAGGTGTTAAATATACACGTACGTGTACTGGTGTTCTACTCTTGACATTATTGAAGACTGGATAAATATAGTACATTTATATAAAATTAGCGTATTAATATCTTATGTAAATGAAATATCAAAATCTAGTGTTTCTATTTATCCATGTGAGAGTGCTTCTTAGTGTTTATATAAGGGGCAAATACTCATAGTTGCTAACAATTTAACTAAATGTGAAACTTGCAGTGTTGTAGCAAATGAACTGTGCTGTTTTGTCTTTGAATATCTACATGTAAATATGTTCTAAAATTGTGTATTAATCAATGCAATATTTGTTATCTCTTTAACGAGAAAAAAATCTATCTATCTACCAATCTCAACATGTAAGATACACGTGTACAAGACTAATTAGTTTATATGAAGTTTTAACAACCTTTATAGGGAAATTATATGTGTAATATGATTTGGGGCATAAAGATCATAAACGAATGCTGGAAGTGTGTGCCTGGAATCTGTTAGTATGGCTCTTATTGTAGTATGATTTTGTTCTGTAGATGTCCAATACTCTATTTACAAATAGTTTATTTCCCATCAAATTTCTAAATGTTATATTATAAAACAGGTTACAGTGTATCATCAAATTGAAATATTTGAATTTAGATATGTATCAGTTACTGACGAGAGAAAATGAATAAGAGCCCTGCATTATGAGGACACCATATTGTTCAGAGGACTGACTCCAGGGCTCCCCATCCCTGGCAGTTCCTATCAACTTAAATATATATTAATGTATATACGTATCAGGATATTGTGTATATATATATATCATATGAATACCGTGTTATACAGTGTCATAAAGCAATCTTATAAATTACGTTTTTGTAACGTATATTATAATATATTTACATTTGCCCCCATGCCGTCCCATTACAACAGTGTTAGAGGACAAATGTAATTATATAGGCTATAATTACAAGCGGGTTTTATGGGATTTGCCAGAGGCCACTATATATCAACAATAATTACATCCAGACAACCAGTTATTGTTTAAATAATATCACTCCGGAAATAAAGTCACAATCGCAAAGAACAATCAATGTAACGTCACGTCATTGTGAAGCGGACGCTATTTTCATCGTTTCAGAGGAGGCCAAGTGCAAAATAATCGTTTCAGATCACAATGATACAGTTTACTTTGTATTCGTTTCCCTTCATATTACTCGTTTTATACATTAAATATATGAGACAGTGGCTCGCAAGCATGAAAAACCCAAAACTTGTACCATGGATCTAATATGACGGGAAACTTCTGACAGATCCTCTATTCCGTCTTTGCGTATTGCAGAGTTATCTTCTCTTGTGAGCAGGTATTGATTGTTACGTCATTAATTTGTGTGAGAAAATTACATCGTTTTCTCAAAATTTGATGACGTTACTCTCACAAACCAATGACGTAACAATCAATACCTGCTCACAAGAGAAGATAACTCTGCAATACGCAAAGACGGAATATATATATTGGCTGGAGAAAAAAAGAATATTTTGAAAATGAAACCGAAAAAAAAACACCAATGTCTTGGAGATATTCTGAAGATGGAGTCAAAAGAGTAGGACAGCCCTGAGTTACGAAATAAAATTTGTAATAGACGAACTGTACCAGTTACACCTTAGTATGCTACATAACCACTTAAGATAGTCGTTACAAATTAACAGAGCTTTTAGTTACACCGCCTCTCAATTTGAGTGGTAAAAAGGCAAGGCCCCGCTACTCGTACAGGTTGAACCGTTACCAATGTACATGTCTTGCCTGTTGAGCGACACAACCGTTCTCGCATACCACAACTTTTAATCTTTTTTCATTTACACATTTAATCGTTAGGATCATGTTGACCTTAGACTCTAAAGAGTTTCTTATGTCCATGAAACGGAAAAGTTTCGCTGTACTTATCGACATATGATCAAGGAAAAATGGAAAAAAGTTCGTTATTAAGATTCGAAACATTTAAATATGTTAACATGTGTAACTATACTATAGTCTTCAACAGCTTTATACAATACAGTTGTTTTGGCAGATATTAATATAAAAAGACTGATATGTTTTATTTTGTTATAAATATGTATATCCGATCACACATGAATATGTATCGATAAATCAGAAACCGGTTACAATGGATAAGTGATAAGGTTGATCAGATACTTGTGACAGTTAACTTGTAAGCATGTATGTCATATTCGTCAGGTTGATTTAGTATGAAACAATAATTGAAAACTTCTATATGAGACGCTGGCGACCATTGATTACAAAGTATTTATGGAAGATACTGATGACCGTGGATTTAATTGATGTTTGTATAGTGTTTGAACGAATCTATTCGTCCAAGCGTTTATTTCAGACTAATATTAGAACGGGTTTTTAGCTCACCTGGTCAAAAGGACCAAGGTAAGCTTATGCCATACCGCAGCGTCCGTCGTCCGTCGTCCGTCAACTTTACACTACTAGTCATAACCACTGAGCGGATTTTAACAAAATTTGGTGTGGAGCATCCTTGGGTGAAGAAGAACCGCTTTTGTATAAATAATGGGTCTGGCCCCCCAGGGGCCTGAGGGGCGGGGCCAAATAGGGGAAATATAGCAAATTATTCTTTAAAATCCTTCTTCCTCTGTAGGAATGAAAGGATTTGGTCCATATTTGGTCAGAGGCATCCTTGGTCGAAGGGGAACAAAGTTTGTATAAATGGTGGGTCTGGCCCCCCTGAGGTCAGAAGGGCGGGGCCCTATAGGAAAAATAGAGGTAAACCCTTTAAAATCCTTCTCCGACCATCGGGATTAAGTGATTTTATCCTTATTTAGTGTGGAGCATCCTTGGGTGACGGTGACTCAATTTTGTATAATTGGTTGGTATGACCCCCGTAGGGGCAGAGGGGTGGGGCTCTGTTTGAAGTTTGTTCCCTATATCTCAAGTACTGGATGGATCTTTCTGAAATTTCATATGTACTAACAGCACCTACCATGGAGTGCTATATCTTTACTTCATACCAATTACTTTAATTATATTCAGGTGAGCGATACAGGCCCTCTGGGCCTCTTGTTTTCAAAAGGAAAATTCCAAAACACCTTTTTATATTGTCGAAACATTTTATTCATCAATATTAAAGATTTTATTATAAATTCCCGAAATGTTCCAAACAAATATCCTTTAGTTTGATAACCAGCGGTACTTGTTTAAGGATTTGTATGACGTCACTGATATTTTTTATTTGTATCACAGTGCCTGATGTCCCAAAAATAGCCAGGTACTCTACCACAAACGACTCGATAATAGTCACACTTAACTCCTCTTCTCCCGGTAAAGTTGATAACTACACCGCCAGCGAGGACTGCGTCAGTAGCGGGAACAGCATCAGTCCCGCTGTCACAGTAAGCGGACAAACCGTGACGATAGTCGGTCTCAGTCCCGGTACCACCTGTAATCTCAAAGTAATCGCTGTCTTTGATGGACACAACAGTTCTGCCGCCGTATTCTCAGGACTCAGCATTGTTGATTCACGTAAGTGGGATTAATGATGTAATATACTTATATTAGCGGAAGTAAATCATATTCCATGTTACAGCTACATGTATTGATGCGGGCTTCTATGTTTGGAGCTTATTTTTTAATGTATCGAAATTAAAGTCATACTGTTTTGTTACATGTCGTTAAACTGTTGGTTTCAGTCGGTTGTTGGTTTATTATGGAAACATTTAAGTGATGTCATGAGTAACTTTATTGTCACTGTTATAGCTCTACTGTCACTACAGCCATCGTTTACATAATAGATATAGTATGTTTCATGTTTCCGTAGTTTCAGTTTTGTCCTTTTGTTTGCAAGCTATAGTATATTGTTTATTTTTATTTTAACTGTAACACTTTAAAACAACTTATTATGGACTTCATGGTTTGAATTAAATACAATTATCAAGAATGAAGCTGGTATTTTTTTTCAAAACATCTCATAAGCAGATTAGGAGTTTGTGTTACCTGTTCAGTAAGACCAGTTTCTCATTCATACTCACAATAATCTCTTGATATTCGATGACTCTTGTACGTCTTGTTTAGTTGTGTTTCAACGTTTTTGGTGATCTCACAATATATATAAAATTTCCATTATCCATTATATGTATAATGTTCATATGTCGCCTTAGACATATTGTCTAAAGCTGTTTTTCGCTAGTTTCATTGAGGAAAAGGAAGAACTTCAGACATTGGTATTGGTCGTTGGCCTTGTGATATCCGGTACTGATGTGTCGACTGAGAGTATCACTTCACTGTTACACATGTTCTTCAATTATTATACCCGATTGTGGAGTTTGTAATGATTTACTTACCAGAACCATGTTTTCGTTATGTCCACTTCCTTCCGCAACAAGTTGAATGAGAGCACTTTATGTTGATGGTGAATTGCCTTTCAAATAAATTTGAGATTGTTTCAAATGATTATATTCTCCAGACTAAAACAGCAGTTTGCAATAGTTAGAAATAATCAAACGTGCCAGTACAATTCAGAATATGTTAGTCCCCGTTTTGAAGATATATTTTCATCGTGTACGTTTCTTGACTGTATGTCTATATATAGATGGGAGTGATACAGATAGACAGGGTCAATACTACGTGAGCTGTACATTGTTCAAGCACCCTGCATATATCTTCTATGTTCCTGGTTCTACAGAGGGATTATGCTTTAAAAACTGCTTCTCTAGAGTATGAGTCTCCCCTTGTTGCATTAATTTTACTGATCATGTATCTTCTATCTTTTTGAGTGGGTGCACCCTAGAGGATTGGTGTTATTACCAGACAATGGCAGAAAACGACAGAATCACGCCGAATTGTCAATTCAGAATGGCGCATATCTTTGTTTTGTAGCACGAAGTCCTTAGAAAATAGGGCGTCATACATTACGCTCGCCTATTACATTCCGTTAAGGGCTAACCATACGCCTTGTTTGTTATTAAAGGAGCATAACTGGACTATATTTCTTCTGTGAACCCCCAGGACTGTAACCAGACTTTATTTATACTTATAGGTTGTTATATACTATACTGGGCGTGGTTTATATATTTTGACGGATGCTGTCGGTATATACATTGTAAGAATGTACATAAAAAACAAATGTAAAACTAAAAAATGATTTTTACTTAAGTGGTGTTTATGTGTCTTTTAATGGACCCCAGTTGAAATATGCTTCAGGGCTTTCTGGGTAATCCTAGTTTCAAGGGCAACATATATTTTAGTTATTTTATTTTTCGTAGGAATAGCCATTACGTATACCTATCTTGTAATTTATAAAAGTGATAACTTTATTTTAGAGACTTAGTATAATTTTACATCAATATGTTTTATAATGTAATGAGCCATATAAATTATTAGTGCCAAAACATGTATTGGGTACTGTATGACATTGTTAGGTTGATGTACCCTTTTACCAAATAACTTGAATTGAATTGAACTTTATCAAACTAGACGGTTAGCACAGCTGATATTACGGCGTGACCCTTACCTCTAAATCGTCCACATCCATCCTCTCCTCACATGTGCATTTGTAATGTGATATTGACATCCATCAAATACCTTCTGTGGTGCTGGCTGTGCAAAACCTAAACTAAAAGAATCGCTTTTTCTTTAGAATATCCTACTATCCGACTCTTTCTGAACGTTAGCGTCATTAACTGTTTATGTGTATCCATATATTTCATAAAACATGTCACTTTCTAACAATTTTCTCGTTTTCTTCCCGAAAATGAGCTGTGCCTGGGATAGTTAAAAATAACAATGTTCGATTTATATTAAGGATTGTGTGATAATGTCGGTTTTTCAATTATTTCCGTTCTGATACTGTCGTCTTTACCTCTGATATTCCTTGTTTATAGCTCCCGGTCGGGTCGGAGATCTAGCCGCCCAAACATTGTCCGCCACAGCTATTAGTTTGACGTGGAAAGAACCTACAGAGTCAAATGGTGACATCATACAATACAGTGTATACGTCACAGATCCCGCGGGAACTTGTGTACAACATGTACAACTTCTGTTGACGGTGGACAGTACAGCTTCAAAGGTATACAATATATGACTGTTGATTATCCGTGACTCTGTGTGATATCAGTTTATTGTCAATGCCACGATTAAAAACTTATATTCTGTTGTGAGATTATTGGTGTTGATGTTTAAAAGTACCTATCTACTGTTAACAAAGTTAAACACGTATGATTGGTGAACTTTGAAATCTATATCAAGTGTCTTCTGCTTACTTAAAGGACAATGAAACGTGTAATGCAACCAGGAAAGGCACTTTCATCAGAGATCAGTCGGATTTCAATGAGACTATCAACGACCTGCTGGCCTATACACGCTACACGTTCAGAGTGTACGCCTACACAGTCACCGGTAGCGGGTTTGAATCGTCCCAGACAGCCACCACCAATGAATCAAGTACGTACAGTAAAAGTACTGAGAGAAACAGTACTTCCCCATGACGTAATACCAGGTGATATAGAACATGATAAAACGCCACGTAGGCCAAAAGTTCTACAATTTCTGCATCTTTATTTTGGTAATTAAGGATCTGACACATCTACCATCAGAAATATCTCGCATCATAAATCAGTGCACGCATGTCCTATACCTATATATAGGAAGTGTATCTAAAGCTTTAACTATACGATATATATGGATGATAAGCTAAGAACCACCCTCCCATCTTGATGGTGTCCAGGTGGTTATATGGTCGTATCTGTCAGTCATTACGAAAGACCTCTGCGTTATTAAACATTACATAATTCATGTTTATCTGGAAATGCCTTTAATACAGAAGCCCTTTACAATCAATCCTTATGAAAATCATTATTCTCTACGACAAACTAGACTTTCTAACCCACCAATATGCAGATCTAATAACTACTTTGGCGGCTTCTTTCCTTTCATGTGTCGCACAGCTAACACCAATGATACTAAACTTTTTAACTCTCCTACACTTGCATGTTTTAAATGGCTGTTAGATAAAAAAAAATATAACTGCTAGTTAATCTGTTAAACTTTTCAAAACTGAAGGGCAAACATTATTATTTCCCAACTTAGAAATTATCGAAGTGATTTAAAGTTTGATTTGCATCATGACCACCTAACTGATTGTCCAGTATGTACTTGTTCAGATGAATTGGAAACAGTCTCTCATTGTTTTTGAAAGTCCCATTTACTAAGATTTGCGGTTTAATTTGTTCAACTCGCTCAGTAATTATGCCTTTGACCATAACCATATCGGTATTGAAATTATTTTACATGGCTGTCCTAATTATGAAGGTAATACACGCAGACTAATGCTTCGTGATATACATTACTTTATAGGGAAATCTAAACGTTTTAACTTTTACAATATCTAGAAAGCCATTATATTGACAAAAACTGTAATTTTCTATGAAAACAGTTGACTATAGTTACCTCCCTTTAATTACTTTTTACTTTATCGTTTACATTTATGTATTTGCATTTCAAAATATCTATAAAATATATTTAGCTATAGTTCTATAATATTATTGTAATACTCTAGCCACCTATGGAAAGAATTTATATAGGCTTGCCTGTTATTCGATCCATTTGACCATAACACCATGTCCATAAAATCTGTTGAAATGAATACAGAAGCAACATTCATCATCCGGAACTAATGCTGGGTTACAACTAATATTAAATCTGTTCTGTTCTGTTCACAAATTCCTCTTCAACGGTAAGATCTAACCATTTAATGCAGATGTTTAAAACCATTTGCATTTTGAATTCTATTTTAGTATAAATACTTTTTAGAAGAACATGAAGCTGAATATCTCAAAAAGTGAAAAACTAAGTTCAATAAACGTATATTGTTTTCTGAAATAGATATCACATTAATTCTGATAAAATATTAATACATACAAATCCATAACCAACTTACCTTTGACAACTCACCTGCTATAGTTTTCCATACACTTTAATTGCATTAGTTTCGATTCTATTTTTTTGATAGCTGAAAGTATTATGTTTTTCTCCAGCGAAACTTTATTATTGTTATTCAAATAAAATTTAATGCACACATTTGTGGTATTTTGTAAGCATTTGTTGTTAGTGAATTTGTAATATAATTCATTTTTTTATTTTTCTATTTTCAGAACCTCACAAAATTACTGACTTAAAAAAACACAGGATTACCTCGTCAACAGTTACAATATCCTTCAAGGAACAGGAACCAAGTACTGGCCCAATAACGACGTATGAAGTACAGTATGTTTACACGGAACGTGTGTGTAACAAATGGTTGAGTACAGATGTAAACTTAACACACAACACCACCTGTACCCCCTCAAGTGGCCGGACTGTCTGCTCTATAGAGAATCTCTACCCCTACTGGGACTACAGCATACGTGTAAGGGCATACACTAGTAAAGGATCCGGTAACTGGAGTGATCCCTTACCACAAAGAACAGAACAGGACAGTAAGTAGGATGAAGTTGATGTTGTGAAATGTGTCACCATTTCAATAATTAAAGTGTTTGTTTGTCTTATTACTAATCAACTCAGTACTAACTGTTAAGTGAATTATGGTCTGTTCCTTTTAAAAATCATAATTTTCATCTAAATAATCGTGTTATATTATATGATCTATTGTAAAAGTGCCTATACATGTAAATTGTGAAGAGTTAATTAGCATTTGAAAAATTCTGAGTATTGTTTCGGTATCATTACAACAGAATACTTATAGTGATACTTAGAAATATTGTAATTGTGAATGTACCATAAAGTGATATTAACCATGTGGCACGGACTTCGGATGCTACTTTCTGTAAATGTTACTGCTGTCAATGTACCATCTCGTGACTAGTTATATATAACTTACTGTGAATGAATAACTTATTGTGAATGTACCATTTAGTGATAACTAGCAATGTTGATATAATTTTATCTTAATTTACCATATAGTCATGACTTTATTTGTAGCCTACCAAAGGTTTTACATCCTATTTATTGCTAGCGTTGTATAACTACGAATGGTTTTACATCCTATTTATTGCTAGCTTTGTAGAACTACGAATGGTTTTACAACCTATTTATTGCTAGCGTTGTAGAACTACGAATGGTTTTACATCCTATTTATTGCTAGCGTTGTAGAACTACGAATGATTTTGATATGTAACTTAACACTATCACTCTATTATGATGTCTTTGTGTGATATTGATTTTGAACTCTATACGGTTGTTTTATTATTTCTGGTCTATTCATATTTCATCACTTTATAAATTTCCTATGAACTACACTTTTATATGCCACATTTTACGAAACATAAACATTTATAACAACACTACGATAACTGTATTATATTTCATTATAGAGCCGAGTTCTATTGATCCGAACAGTATCAAGCCTACAGTGATCACAGCTTACAGTGCAACTTTGGAGTGGTCTGCCCCTTGTCCCCCCAACGGCGTCATCAGTAACTACGTGATACTATGGAACATGTCCTCACATATCAACACCACTGATAATTCCTCGTCATACTTAGTGTCTGGTCTACTGCCATACAGGACTTATACATACCAGATTGCTGCTGAGACTGGGGCGGGTATAGGAAATTACTCCACCGGACAGAGCTTCACGACATTAACGGATGGTAAATATAAATTAAAATTCAAACCATAATGTGATCATTTAAAACTTTGATACAGCTTGTTAAAGAAATAGTTTAATAGCGTGAAACCGCTGTAATGAAAGCATCGAAAAGATTGTTTAATTATGTAATAATGGTTCCATATTGAGTGGAATAGTATTATTGTTTGATCTAAACAAAATGATTCGTCTCTATTCTAAACTGGTGAACATCATTCCATAAAATATCATAGAACTAAAATAGTTGAACAGTTATGTCTATATACATTTATTATTTTCCATTAGTTTACGCAATAGTGAGTGTATGATACGGGGATGTTACGGGCAAACTGATTTCCTTTTTTTACAATTTACCACGTAATTGATTTTATCTAGCACAATATACACTAAAATATAACCACGCATCACCATCTGAAATATATCTTGGTTCGAGTTCTTGGTTTTGGGATCAAAGACGAAACTTTCAACTGATTTCACTATTCTAACCTGAAAACACTTACATTATACCTGCCTTATAAACTTACATTGTAATTACGTTATAAACCTACCTTACAATTGAATTATACAATTAAATCATATATTACATTATAAACTTACCTTACAATTGAATTATACAATTAAATCATATATTACATTATTAACATAAATCATAATTAAATTATAAAGTCACACAAAAGTTATTGCTTTAACAATATACGCATACACGATATTTACATTTTATCAAATTAATCATATCTACATGAAATCGTATAAACGTACATTGTGTATTTACATTATTAAACACCATTATACACCTACAATATAATGAAGTTTTAAATTACTAATATAACATCCACATTACAAATTTACGTTATTAACAAATTGTTATAATAATATTATAAATAGAACAAATACATGTAAAACACGTTTATCTTTACGACTGTTTACACTATAGTCCAAATATATACTGTATCATTGTTGACGCCGTCCGATTATTTACATTAGTCATATATGGAACATTTGTTCATGTGTTTTTTATTACATTTATTCCTGTTTTCCCAGGACATCTTGGCGAATGCTATGAATTGGTGTAATAAAGGTTAAAATGTACTTAACATGTTAAAACCCCTACCCTATAGTTACATATCCAGTGCGATACAAGCTAAATTATCTTCTCGTTAAACATAATTTCTGAATGCTAGAAGCGGACTAAATGAAAACCATCATGACTGGCAGAAAGAAAGCATTTAATTTGTTTGATATGTTTGTTTTATTATGTATATATTTCAACTGTGAGTTAAACTAACTCAACGAAATATCTCTCTTTTAACGTAAATAAAAACAAAATATTGGGCTAGAGTTCATAAATGAAGTCCTAAATCAGAGTCAATACGGAAAAGACAAGACCATAAACCAGAGAGACACCAAACAAACCCAGAAGTGTGAACATTTCATGTATAACATGCTGCAACCTTTATAATGTCTTTCGTCAAATCCAGTAAATGTTTGGAGACTCACTGAACAGCTTGTAAATCATGAAAGAAACTAAATTTGAAAACAGATAGGGAACATTATTTCAACATATGATTAACATAAGCAAATGTTATCATATTTTATGTCGTTTGTCATACAGCTATCCATATTAAGTGTATTATGATATGCAGACCGTCAATTATGTACCATTTCTTTAAAGTGCCGCATCAACCAGGTGAAGTTACGGTAAATGAAAAGAAAGCTACCAGTATTTCTGTGACATGGGGAGAACCGGATTTGAAAACAGGCCCAACCTACTACGTCGCTACTGCTCTAGATAACTGCAGGCAGGCAAATACGTCATCCTGTTATACAAATAGTAATTTCTTAAAATACGTCATCCTTGAGTAAAAGTAATGTTTTTTGAATATATTTTTCTGTAATAAATATGGTAATTTCTGTAATTTGTTTTTCTGTAGTACAAATGATCACTCCTTAATGTCATTTTGTAGTACAAATGGCAACTTTTAAAAGCGTCATCCTGTAACACAATTGATGATTTGTTTTTGACATAGCAATCTTTTAATTTTCATATCATAAAACTTAATATGCTATGCAGAAAGACTTTTGTTGCTAAACCAGGTGTGACAGTTAAGCAATTAACAAAGTTATGGTTGGAATACTTGCTTTACTTCATGTGTCCTATTTGATACAAGGTGTATACGCTTCCTATCTAGAGGCAAAACGACCCGGGTGGAGTGACATAACAAATTTGAAATTTAATAAAAAGGGACAGTTTTGAAACGTTGCGACACCTTTAATACGTTTTTGTTTGTGTATAAAAGTAAAACTTTGATATTTGAATGTATCCTGGTTATTCGTTACACTTATATTTTATAGGTTTTGACGAAACCACATGTATGATACAAAACGTTGATGAGTACTGGAATTACACCATTGTCGTCACGGCGACAACAGTGAACGGATCAATCAACTCCAGCACAACGGTCATCAGAACTGCAGAGGCAGGTATGTTATAGATAATTAACAGGCTGAAAATCCTATTAAAGGTGTATCTTGGTATGTTTACATTATGTAAATATTAATACTGTAAAGAACTTACAGATTATATATATGTTACTCATATACTTATACTTACTGTTTATCGAGCAACTAATGAGATGGTTTACTGATTGTTGTCTGAGCTAACGTGGTTTCTAATAGATTGTACTACCAAATAGTGTAGAAGGTTTCTGTAGTATAAGTTATGTATGTGTTAAGCACTCCACCCGGGTCGTACTTGCTTCGGCAGTACATATATTAAAATTGGAACGATACAGAGAAGATTAGCATGGCCCCTGCGCAAGGATGACACGCAAATTCGTGAAGCGTTCCATATTTTTTTTATGTTTTTAAAGAACGTATTGTAAACCACTGGAACTCCCTACCCGATACCGTCGTCACCTGACCAACAATCAAAACATTTGAATCCCGTCTGGATAAGTATTGGGGACAACCTGATTGTTTCTATAACCATGAGATAGACAATAATGAACTTATTCATTGCCGGGACGTCATCATAGTGTCTGACGATATTCCAGATCTGGATATATAGGCATATTGCCTGCGTCCAGTATTATTATTATTATTATTATTATTAAGACAATAGGAAACAAAGATTCGTAAAGAATGCCTCTGTCAACGTATGGTATTGATCTTACATCAATTATTGTATTTAAATCAATAAAAAGACAAGCTAGATAAATTAAATCAACACCTGTGTGGTAGACTACGTAGGATAAGTTATCGTCTATACCCACAGCTCCTGGACCAGTGACAGATGTCAAGGTGACAGTTCAGGCCGACGTCACCAAGGCCCGAACAGTAACAATTACATGTGGCCTACCTAAAGAGAGGGACCTAAACGGTGTCATTACCAATTACACATTGGAATGGGGATATTCTTCGACTCGGGTAAATCAAATTAACCTTTTTCATGAACGAGTCAAATGAAACGGAAAAGCCAGCAATCATGATTATTTATCTTAGCATTCATCCTGATAGGTAGTTTATATGTATACCTTTCCTCTGATATGATGATTTTTATTTTAATATTGATCCTGATAGGGTTTTATATTTATACATTAAACCTGATATATCTGTACATTTATCCTGATATTATCATTTATATTCATACATTAACTATTATATATCTACAATGTGTATGCATTAATCCTGAAACGATTATGTATATTTATACATTAACCCCGAGTCAAGTTATTTGATCTTAGTTGTCTGTACACATCTGTACAATACATGATATTTTATCGGAATCTTCATTTTGGATAGAACATTCATAAATGAAATAGTCCGGATTAACAAAATATGACATTTCAGGTGTATATACATCCCTCATTCCAACCACCAGAATAAGCTCAGACACTAAGAAATACGCTCATGCCCAAGGGTGTAGGTTAGGGAAATTCCACCCTCGGGTGGATGTCCCTATCCTACACTCCTGTGCATGAAAGAGTCTTATATCATTACCCTGGGATATGTCATCCTGGGTTGTATCGGGATCTGCTGCCCAAGATACAACTGACGTAACAAAATTCGATATCATTTCTACAACTATTATTTTTAAACGAGAGGATTAAAATATTGATTTCCTCAAAGAAGATATAACGGGGTCGTTAGTTGCCAAGCTATATGTGTGTATATCAAACAAAATACTACCAATCGGCCGTAAATTTAGCTACTTTATTTTCATATCTACACATTACTTCAATGTGTATGCAAGACATGCTACTTCAGTCGTATATTCCCTGACTGAATAAATACATTACTACTGTCAATTCCCTAGCTCTATGTAAATAATAACGCAATGCTACTCAGTGTGTAAGGTGTCGCCTCCGATTCTTTCTTGCGGCTTTTAATGTACTGTTTAAGATATGATTTCCCCTCTGCTCTTGATCAATTTTCAAACAGACATCGATTCAATTCGGATTATGTTTTGAAAAAGCAGCATTTCCAAATGACAAAGAATGTTTTGTTACATATATTGTGGTTTCAAATTAGGCTACATTATCACTTTAATTCATGTATTTGTTTATTTTTGTATTATTTTATTATTCAAATTAAAGTTCACACTTGTGTGACGGTGTAATAGAATAAACCCGTTGTCAGCTAATCACGTAGAAAACGACTGTTTTAGTAAAATACAATATTATACTGAATTGTTGCCTTCCTCATTGTCTCAATTCCATGTTTAAGAACCGCAACACAAGCAAACATTGTTCCTGGGATGTTTCTGTGAAGCCGCAAAAGAACTACACCTTTAATGTAAGTATCTTAAAAGTAAATGTGTACCGCTAAACGCAGGTAAAACATGGAACATGCATGTATCGCATAATGGAAAGACGACGTGTGGTAACATTAGTTGTCTTAAAGCCGTCCTATTACTTACGTAACAGAAGAATTATTACTTGATAAAATTGCAAAAACGTATCTGACAAACTTATTAAAGCCTGATAATACTTACTGTTTGTTTATCAGCAATAACAATGCGTCGAAACGGACTCGTATTGGTTATATTAACATTCTTATAGAGACGTCATGCTTTATTTATCTTTTCACTATCCTCATTTCGATTCGTTTTGAGAATTACCTGACCAAGTGGTGTTATAATCTAACAACCGTATTTTACCAGACAGTTTGTCAAATAAGGAATAAAAACATATACAGTCACATGTTTTCTGGATGTGATGATATTTATCTTTTCAATGTAGATGTTACTTATATGTTTAAACACGCTTCTAATTTTATTAAAAAGTCGTCCCTTAAAACAATTAATAGTCATCAAGCTGTTACAATATTTGGCAGGTCTCCGCATCAACGAGTGTCGGGAAAGGTTCATCATTACAATACAAACGGGAAATTCCAGCCGGAGGTACTGTATTTTATTTTCTAATAACAGATTTTTATATGCTTTTGATATATATTGTTAGCCTACAGATCCCCACAATTATTTGGATTTCTATTCTAATCATGCTAAATACCCAAGCTTAACATTCCAAATGGTTAAGCATCGAAACTAGTCATGGTAGTTAGCGATTTTTTTTTATTAGAAAACAGATTGGACGCAAACATTAGCCTGCTGAAGTGGTACAAAACGCTATACAAAGATCTAAAGAAAAAGGCCATGTCAGTGTTTATTCAGAAAGAGCTACCACACCAAAGATGATCATTTCATTTGTTACTACGTTCAATCCAAATAATTGTGACATGTTTCCTGTCGTTAAATATTTTGTGCATTTTATGAAAAATAGTGAGAACATGAGGAATACCACAAATGTTGTCACTCGTGTAAAAAATGTATGAAACCAAGGCATTGAATGTAAAGACTGCGATTTTGCCAATGGTTCCGAAATGGAAATTAGATCGGACATTAACTGGAAGCACAGAATGTTATTTACTCTTTAATATTTAATGATGTGGTAAATTTTATATAGAATAACCCGGATGTGAGTTGAGACTACGTAGGAATGTACATAGACAACAAATAAATGACAATAAACTAACATCTTTAAACGTTAGCAAACATATGCATCAATGTTCTCAAGCTGATTTTTATGTGCTACCTATTTAAAGACTGAATACCGATGATAAAGTTAGAAAGATAATTTAAAGAAAAAAATATTTATAAAAGCCCTCAACCCAGCTTGAATGCACAATGAATTGTATGTTGATGTTTTCTATGCACTGGCAGTGTTTGTGGCGTCACTATGATTGTTTATTGATGACGTCACTAGTATTGTTTATCTTGCAAATATTGATGCATGGCGTTATGTAACCAACGGTGACCAATACACACCAGTCCGCCTGAAGAAGCTCTAGAAGGCAGAATGACCTAGCGGTAGATCTTACATATTTATTATTTTGCGTCTCGTGTGTATGCTTATATATAATCAACATATATAATCCCTTTACATGACCTGTGAGCTAGGTTAACCGTGCGAAATACTGTTATCGGTCAATATTTGCTAATATATTCACTGTACCTAGCGCATTAGAAATTCTAGAGAGGAGAGAAAATGCTTTATTGACATTGTAATGTGGTTGTTCTAGGTCCTGTTACGCCTCATTGACATTGTATTGTGGTTGATCTAGGCCCTGTAATGACTCATGTACATTGTATTGTGGTTGATATAGGTCCTGTTACGCCTCATTGACATTGTACTGGGGTTGATCTAGGTCCTGTTACGCCTCATTGACATTGTATTGTGGTTGATCTAGGTCCTGTTACGCCTCATTGCCATTGTCTTGTGGTTGATCTAGGTCCTGTTACGCCTCATTGACATTGTACTGTGGTTGATCTAGGTCCTGTTACGCCTCATTGACATTGTATTGTGGTTGTTCTAGTTCCTGTTACGCCTCATTGACATTGTTTTGTGGTTGGTCTAGGTCCTTTAACGATTCATTGACATTGTATTGTTGTTGATCTAGGTCCTCTAACGACTCATTGACATTGTATTGTGGTTGTTCTAGGTCCTGTAACGACTCATTGACATTGTATTGTTGTTGATCTAGGTCATGTAACGACTCATTGACATTGTATTGTGGTTGATCTAGGTCCTGTTACGCCTCATTGGCATTGTATTGTGGTTGATCTAGGGCCTGTTACGCTTCATTGACATTGTATTGTTGTTGTTCTAGGTCCTGTAACAACTCATTAACATTGTATTGTTGTTGATCTAGGTCATGTAACGCCTCATTGACATTGTATTGTGGTTGATCTAGGTCCTGTAATGACTCATGTACATTGTATTGTGGTTGATATAGGTCCTGTTACGCCTCATTGACATTGTATTGTGGTTGATCTAGGTCCTGTATTGACTCATTGACATTGTATTGTCGTTGTTCTAGGTCCTGTAACGCCTCATTGACATTGTATTGTTGTTGATCTAGGTCATGTAACGCCTCATTGACATTGTATTGTGGTTGATCTAGGTCCTGTTACGCCTCATTGACATTGTATTGTGGTTGATCTAGGTCCTGT